GCGGCTCCATTATCTAAAAAAAAAAAAAAAAAAAAAAAAAAAAGCGCAATGTATTAATGATGTTAAATCCTCTATTACGGCAGCGTGCGCGTTTTCCAGCAGCCTTTCGCTCGGTGCCTTTGTATGAACGTGGTCAGATTTAGCAGTTAAGCCAATTGCTCTGAAATCCCTGGAGGAAGAGGCAGTCCCAGCCCGCCGCCTTCCCCAGGCACAGCGCAGGGCTTTACCCTTTCCGAGGATATCGGAGAATCCCGTTATTTCAAGAACGTTAGTTCCCGTGTAAGAAAACACGGCGCAATTGAGTAAACACTCTGCTGAAATGCAAGTTAATGCTTATTTTCTAGAAGAAAAAAAAAAAAAAAGGCGGGGGGAACGAAAACCTCCAGCCCAGCCGCGACAGAGCAGGGGTGCGTGACTTGAGCAGAAACCTTTGCGTGGGTTCCTCCCCGCGGGGACGAAGCGGGGGGCTGCCCCGGGGGGAGGAGGGGGACACGCGGAAGGGACGTGTGTTACAGGGCGCTCCTCTCGCCCGCATCTCTCTCTTCATTCTTATCGCTGTTGCTTTATTTCTTTGTTACTGCGCTGGAAAATGTTAGAAGAGAGAAAACAGGGGAGGTACTTTTACAGAGACGTTGGGGTTGGGTGTTGTTTTTTTGTTGGGTTGGGTTTTTTTTTCCTGCAGAAATATCATAAATAATTTCCAAGAAAATGCTAGCGACCTCGTCTGAATATGTTTGTAATAAGGTGATTTCTCTTTGACGAATCATTTCTCAAACTCGGAACTTTCTTCGCAGTGCTGGGGAAAAAAAAAAAAAAAAAAAAAAGAGAGAGAGATTCTGTCAGAATCGATGGGTATAACGGTTTTCCTCTGGAAAGAGTTGCTAGTGGGTGTTACACAGGCGATCGGCCTCTTTCAGCACTTGTTGACTGTTAGGGTACTAACCAAAATCCGCGTTGTTATTTTGCGTTTCGATTTTAAAGCCGCTTTAAAGAAATGCATACCGAGAAGGACCAGGCGTTGCAGTACACATGAGCAATTTTGGATCGCTCGCAGTTTTGTAGGCATGCACATGTTATTCCCTCTGAATGCCCTGGGAGCGCAGGGGCTTGATTTCTGGGAGTGCAACTGGCAATCTTATCACATCCATAACGGTTTTGTAGGTCAGAAGTAATATTGTTGTTCACTTTATTGGTGCCGGCTTGAACTTTTCACCTATAAATTTTATTTTCTTCTTTATTACTGCTCGCGCCAAAATGCTAGTTTTATCAGCCTCACTGCTTACTCAGTACACTGACTGCTTCAGGGATATGTTGTGTTTCCTCAGCTTTGTTTAAAACCGAGCAGAAACACATTTAGCGCCATATAGTAAACCTTTCGAAAATAGATTTCTTTTCTGGCACTGAAGAAGTGGTACTGCATTAATAACTACATCGGTGTCTGACAGTAGCTGATGGTCATCTGGAGCTAAATTCTAATTTGTTTGTACCACCAATATTTTGCTGTTTTACAAAACTATTCAAAATGCAAAATCAGGCAGCTGCCTCTAAGTTTTCTGCTTTACAGGGTTAAAGCAACTATCCACAGAAAGGCAAAATTCACAAAACATAGCTGCCTCTGTTTTTTCAAGTAGAAAACTTGATTCAGTATTGAAACGCTTACCCATGTGCATTTTACTTCATTTATTAGCTTGTAATTAAATAAATCAGCAACAGAAATTAAAATCTAAATCACAAAAGGTAATTATCCAGTGTATTTCAAGTGCATTTTCAAATATATAATTCCAATATTCAAGCGTTATTATATAAGCAGAATCCAAATTTCTTTTGAATATATTTAAATAACATTTCAAGTATATTTATGGAATGTTAGAAATAGAACAAGCAATATATATGAAACGAAAAATGTAAACTTGTTAAGTTCAGACACTTCAAAAGACAATTAACAAAAGTACCATGATAAAATCTACCTTTTTAAATGGTATCTTCTCTTTAGCAGAAAATGTCCTTGAAGTATCCAAAATGGCAATTTAACTTCTGTTCACCAAATCACAAAACACCAACATCCACAATTTCAAAGACAATGTGAGATCACAATATTTGATACAAATTAAAAGGTACATTAGGGTTTGTTCAGGTGGCATATCCAAATAGCTTTTACTCACAGAGGGTTTACATAAAAATACCGGGGTTTGTTATAATCCGTTGGTACCGTTTCTAGGCAGAATGGTCACAATCGTGTTAAATTACGGCCAATTTTCCTTCCCAGGTAACGTACTTTTTTTCTCTCTCTCTTTTATTTTTATTTTCCCCCACGGGGAACTGCAAAACTGTGACGAAGATAAGAGGAACGATCCTTGCTGTTCTTATTTGCTTTTCTTTGTGAAGAGCCTAAGCTATATTCCTTTTTAAAAGAGAATATTATTTGCATTGTCAAGTGGAAATATTTGACTTTTCGAACAGGCAGCTGAAACTTCATAGGGAAATAAGCAGATTTCTCGGTCGGGCCGGTTTTATAGTTACCCCCTAAAGTTTCTCCAAACTTTTCGGGTTGGTAAGTATTTCCCTAGCCAGTCGCCACGTTTGTTTGGCCGCGTTTTCCAGGGCCGAGTGAGGTTTGCCCTGAAAGAGGTCTAAGTTGGGCAAGAAGTAATGCGGGCACCTCCTGCACTGGAGGCAGGAGATGAGCTGCAGTAAAATCCCGTTGAGCCGGTCCCCCAGGCACGACTCGTCCCAGTCCGATTCCCGGGGATGCTTTTCGCATTCGTAGGAAACCAGAGTCTTCATGTGATAATTATTCAGGGGCTGGCCCGGCAGCTCCAGGTGACGGTCCCGTAAGGTTTTGAGGATGGAGAGGCATTTCTTCCTGCAGCCGCCCATCTGCAGTCTGTTCTCGGCTTCGGCGAACTGCAGCACCCAGGCATCGCTCTCGGCCGAGCTCTGCTTGCCGGCCAGCGAGTGGCACTCCTTGGATAAGAGGTTGAAGCCTTCCGCCTTGACCTCCGCCACCCTGTTGGGTCCCGGCCAGGGGATGTGGGGAAGCGGCCAGTGGGCAGCACTCCGCGGCCAGATCCCCGTGCATTTGAACGCCGGGGTGATCTGCACGACGTACCTATCCCTGATCCTCAGCTTCACTTCGCTGGTGTCCGCCACCATCTTTACCACGTCTCTGTAACTGCACTTATCCACGGCTTGAGCCACCAGAGTCTGAAATCTGGACCGGATTTTGCGAGCGGAGAGGTAGCCAGACGCCGTGATGAACTCCACCCAGAGGGACATACTCCTCTTGCGCCCGTCGCTTAACTTTAACACAGCGCAGCCCGGCAAGGAGCCGTCGTCCACGAAGTTGAAAACCCCCATTTGGTTCAGGTACAGCACGACTTCGAACTCCGTGGGGGAGATGACTTCCAAGCCCTCGTAGCGATTGTCCATCTCGTTCAAGGAGCTGATGAAGCGCGGCTCCTGCACCTCCACCTCCTTCAGCACGTCCGACACCACTTTGCAGACTTCTCGGATGGTTTTGGCGATGGCAGCTTTCCTGGCTTGGCATTTCTCGTTGTAGTATTTATTCAGATGATACACCAGCTTGGCCTGGGCCGCGATCATGTTGGGGCAGAGATCCGGATTGTATACCGGAGTCTCGCAATAGGCTGTGGGATCCAATGCGGCTGCTAAGGCTGGAGCCAACTTCAGAGGAGAAAAAGGCTGCCGCACTCTGAAATGTAACAAATGTTTTTCAAAAATGCGCTGGGGCTGCTGCTCCTCAGATGCTCTCTTCCTGCTTTTTTAGATCAGCCGTCTTGAAGTGTGTGTGGCGGGAGGGGGGTCCGTGAGTGAGAGGAAAGCATCGAGAGCTGCACCTTCCCCCAGCAGCAAGAAAAACAAAAGTTGCACTGAGACACAGCGAAGGCTTCCAGTAGTCAAAATAATAAAACCTCTTCGTATTTATTTATGTTTTCCCGTAGTAATCACTGTGTGTGTGCGGGGTGGTTAATCAGATGGTGGAAAAAAGTGCCGTGTGTGTGTGTATATGTCAGAAGAAGCTGGCTGTTGGTTTGTATAAGAGCCCAGATGCACTCGTGTGGAAATTATAAAGGCAGGGCCAGGCAAGCCGGCGGCCAATCGCCACTGGGCTCGTCACTGCAGCCTCTTTCAGCTCAAACCCGGCTAATTAATCCCTCTCTAGGAGATAGATATGTATACACAGACACACACACGCACGCACACGCAGGCACATATAGAAAGGTAGAAGGTTACTGGCAGGAAAAAAAAACCACCACCACCAAACCCAAACCAAACCGCCCCGCTGATCTGTACGCTCGGAAATCAAGAGAAATCGCTCTCCTTTGGGTGTAACTTGAAGGGTATTGGCGTTTCGAAAGGACTTGGCAAAAGTGTGCCGCTCCGCACTGAATCCCTGCGTGCCGCCCCACAGCCGGGCCGGGAATGCAGGTGTATTAATGGGGATCCATCAGCCAGGGAGCTACGGACCGGGCTCGCTCCTGCGGGAGCAGAGGCGTAAATTCATTAACTCACACTTGGCGGCACATCATGCTGTCCTTTTCCTCCTGATAGTTGTCTATAGCTCTGCAAGGGAGAAGTTGGTTTTTTGCTTGTGGGTGGTTTTTTTTTTTTTTCCCTCTCGTGAACTAGCCGGTGACCAAGGCAGCAAATTCACGGCAAATTTAGTGTCCTTTGGAATAAAATATTACGCAAAACTCCACGATATGTATTGTTTTAAAAGGTCTTCTGACGGGCTCTAATCGATTTTGAGGTTTAATGTATTTCGGCATTGTTTCTGCCTTGCTTTTTGTGTTTGTACCTTTACGAAGGGAGAATCAATCGCTAAACGTTATCTGTCAGGTCTTTTTCGCGTTCTCTCCAGAAACCACCGAGCAGATATGAACGGTAAATCTCGTCTGCCAATTCTTTGCTTCGTTTTTCTATGCGCTCCAATACGTAGTGAGGAGTGGATGTTCAGCTGCTTTTTGAGACGCAGTATAAGTATCAATTTCAAACCTGGAGGGTTTATGGTATAGCGAGCTCTGGTAACGAGCTGCGTTTAGTGAAGGGTGCGATGCGAGCGACTGGAAACACGCTGGCACGCTACTAATCTGACAGTTTGGGGGGTTCGTGTGGATGATGTGTAATTAGCAAATTTCTCCTTCGGTACTTTTAAGTGTTAGTAATCGGGACCTTTATTTGCAAATAAACTAGAGAGGCAAACTCTTCTGCTTTGCAACACTTCAAGAGAACCCTCAATTTTATTATTTCTAAGAAAAAAACCCAAAACAACAAAACAGCAAAGCTTTTAATCTCTTGGCATCTTTAATCTACTGCCCGATTGCTAATTCTTAAAGTAACTGTCACAGGCATAGCCATCGCTAAGGAGGAGAAATACCGCAAAGAACGTTTCACGACGTTTATTCAACGCATTAACGCGACCAACTTTATTGCACGTAGCGGAGAATTTCTGACTTTGCGCTTGGCTCGCTCGCTCTGGCGTTTCTTCCTCTTCCTAGGAGGAAGCTGATGGGGGAATCATTTTCTGCCCGTTAGTCAAACAGGGCTCGGGCTGTCTTGGGGCGCCTCGCTGAAAAACTGCAGGTGACAGGTCGTCCCGGAGCAGCTTTTCCTCTTTTCGGCCGCGACCCCCCCTTTGGACGACGGCGGAGAGGCGGCCGCTTT